ATATATATATATATATAAAGGAAAAAAACTAATGAGTTGGCAACGAAGAAGACCAAGATTTTCAACCCATCTTATATCATTTTGTTACTTTAATTATAAGACAATTTAGAATATTTTTACCGGGCTAAGTTGTAAAATTTTACACTAGTTTACTTGTGTAATGTAATCAATAACTAGTACAAGAATAAAAAAGTAAGGTAGTGCAACACTTAGAAATTTTATACTAATATCTAGTGACTTGAGACAATATATAATTGTTCATGTATCTTAAAACATCATATTTCTCATTATTTATGTTACTACCATCGGAGTATTGGACACTATAAAAGAATATTGATATCTGAATGATCTCATGGAAGAATTGATCCGCTTTAGCTCCTTAACTTGATTCATTAAGTAAGGCAACAACGATTGAGGCAAAGGACAGGAGAATGTGGTCGAAGTATATGACATAAAAGTTTCACGGGACTAGGTCAGAGATGGTTGGACCAACCTAACATGGCGCTTCAGATCCCAAGACCTGACTCTGAATAGTTTGTCCAGGTTCAATAGCCTACTCCACCTCCTACACAACCTATGATCCAAAGCCAGATTATCTAGGCACAAGCTAACATGGCTCATGCGAGAAGAAGCATTCATACCATTGTAAGAGGTTTGGCCAAATGGGGAAGCTTTGGGGCAACACAAAAAATATATCAAAGAAGTATCAACTTGATGAGCTAATTCCTACCATGGCGCTTAACTCCTATAACCTTCATAGATGAAGATTTATTTATAGACGACTATATCAAGACAACATAGTAGTCATCACAATAACCATTGCCAATTGACAAGTTCTCAAAATCCTTATCAACTAGGGAAGCTTAGTCAATGTCTATTTTGGCATGCTTTTAAGAAATTGGACATCCCAACCAACCTGATCCAACGCTATCTATAACCCCTACTCAGTTTTCCAAAAAACGAGTGCACCTTAAATATTTTATTGAGTTGCTGACGACCTTTAGGACAGCAAAGGCCCATAACACCGTAATGGTACAATACCTCATAGTGGAGGTTGACACTTCCTACAACATCCTGGTCGAGCGAAAAACATTTGAATAAGCTCGGTGTGGTCGTGTCTACTCTGCACGCGGTGGTGAAGTGCTTGGTAGAGGATCACTTGACCATCATTATCAAAGTTGACTTGAAATAGGCAATAATATGTTAGTTCAATAGGCACAAACATTCCACCCCAAGCAACAACAATATAGCAGTTCACCTCTCTAAAGATAGACCCATCACATTGTGGCAAATAATGCAATCATGCCAATTAATGTTTACAAATCATTAACAAGGAAGCTTAAACAACAACACTCTTGACCTTGATCCTAGGTAGAGTTCCCAGATGATGGTTGACCTTCATTTGATAGACCAATGTAGAGCTACACCTTAGGACTAAGGTGCCCTAGGTTATAGAGGTTGGTGTTAACATGGATGAATAAGTTCACAAATAGATATTGGAAATTCTTAGACAAAACGTGAATGCTTTTGCTTGGTTCCCAATTGACGTGTGCGGTATTGATATTAATTCCTTGTGCCACCACATGTCCATTCTCCCACAGGCTAGACCTGTGGCCCATAGCGCATGTGTGTTGACTACACATATCTCAACAAAGTGTGCCTAAAAGACACATATTTGTAACACCCCTTATCAGGGTGCCACTAGAAAATAACGAAATCAAAACTTTTACGCCAATTTTTTTTTTCTTCAATTAACATCGCGGAAATAAACCATCAAAAGTTTAAGCGTCTTACAACATAAAGTTTAAGCGTTTTACAACATAAAGTTAAAACCTTACAAATATCAAATTCAATATTCAAAAACATAAAATTACTTAAAACATGATAAGTCCCCCATAGTCATTCCCATAACTCTCATCATGCTACTTCATCTCTGCCTCATCTAAAACGCCATCTACTCCCGTACAAGTACGATCATCGTAGGTGGAAACCACAACCACAACATTTCAGGGTGAGTAACGAGGAACCTAACATAGCATATAATTTAAATATCAAAATATCATAACTTAGATTATCCTAGTTACAACCTTACAATACAACACAATATCCAACTCGTAACTCAGACCATCACCACTCAGACTATCAAGATCATAATATTACAATACATCACAATATTAAGCTCACAACTCAATCATTTACTCAAGCTTCTGTTGTTTCCTTGAATTTTGTCGTATCAAACCTGTTTCGCAAAACAGGGGGCGATTCGAGCACGTCCTCCATCGCAACTTCAGACCTATCTCCCGACCTCTCAAGGAATTACGAGTAAAAACTTCGGTTAGGCGCACCCACCGAGCACTATACTCACACGAGCCGAGTTCATTTGGGACGACATTCAACCCCCTCTAGATCCCCGCGCACGAGGAAAGGGTGACACTCGAATCTCAGTCTCCGCAGAGACTCAACACACTATCGTTCGCAATACGACCCACCATCGATTCACAAGAATTCTAAGGAATGACAGAACGCTTGCTCTCACCAGTTTCACCATCACACTCAACCTCAATCTCTTTCAAAGTTCCTCTCATTCTCATAATTCGTTCTTTCCTCTTCTTCCAACAATGGAAGAGAATTCTCAATACCCTCTTTACCCACACTCTTGGCCAAAGAGTGTAGATAAGTATTCCCAACGATTAAAATTGAGTGATGTCTACACTGACCTTTTCTTGTTATTTACTCATAATTCTCTGTACATAACTTCAATGAGTTCATTTTTTTTTATTGGAAACTAGCACTCAAATATCTTTCTTTGGACATAAAATCTAAATTTTGGACTACAGATCTAGCTGCAGTAAATAATTCAAAAAGCTGAAACTTTCACGCACGCTCTGGTCTTCTCAGTTTTAACCTTTGCTGACTGTTTTACTCATAAATTCTCTACCAAACTCCAATTAAGTTGATTCTTGCTTGTGTTGGAAACTAGACTCAAATATCTTTCCTTGACATATAAATCTAAATTTTTGACTACAGGGCTAAGCTGGCAGTAGAATTATTAAAAAGCGGAACTTTCACCACGCTCTGGTCTTCTCAGTTTTAACAACTTGTGTTCCTTTTGCTA